TGTCTGTGATAGTTAGATAACGATATGACTTCGAAGTGTTTACGTTATGACTTGTTTATGATATGATACATTGTGATGCAATATGTCATGGTATGATGTGTATATGATGAAATGTTACGTTAAAAGCATAAAACGTTATGTTAGGTCTCTTAAATTGTGTGTATACAGCATGATATGAATGATATGAAATTACGATAAATGACATGAAATATAACCTCGTTAGAATTATGTATGATTTGAGAACTGAAGAATGAGATACGATATGATTGAATGATGAACGATATCTGAAACGATATGAAAAATGATATAATATGTACATAATGTCAGCGGGGTTGTATTAAAGAATAATGAAACTGGAAAAGTTTTGGGATCTCATGCATTATGTGTGCTCATGCATTTTGGGGATACTCATATCCCATCATGAGGGTACGGACGCGTACATCCAATGGCAGGACAACGATCGTTATGTTTTGCATAGCGCTGCCGTGATGGTTACTAGTTCTAGCGGGTGTCCAGCCTAAGGGGCTCCTAGAGTATGCCCACTGGATAAGAAAAGTGGCCCAGCGGTGTGCGAACTAGCTGGTGAGCCCATACTCGCACGTATGGGCTATGTATAGAGTATATGGTACACGTCCAAAATTACTCGCTAGGACAGCACCGTAGGGAAAACAGCATGAAAGATAGGTCTCATCATCTCATTGCATGTGATTGTTGCATTTAACCCCAATAGTGGGGTCACTTACTGAGTATTTCTTTAAATACTCAAGCCATGTGCTACTACATTTTTAAGGTTAAGGCAAGGCATTCCTGTACGGCTGACGCCATCGCAACTCGAGACCATAGCACATGCATAGGGTAATGGTATTTGTTTTCTTAGAATTAGGCTAGAATAGAATGTTTTTAACTTAAACTCTTATTCATTTTATTTAGTATTTTGTTATCTCGTTTTAAAGATGTTTTCGAAACACATAAGTCAATGACAGTGTTTAAAATAAAGGTTGTGTTTTATGGAATTTAAATGAAATCTTCCGCATTCAATGTTTACCATACGTATATAGTAGCGACCTTAAATTAAGTAGAAAATTTCGGGTCGTTACACAAAATATATTGGACAACTTTGACATAGATATGGAAGACTCTTGAACAAAAGATGGTCGATGGTTTACCATAGCTCAATTCTCGTTGGTGTAAAAATTGTGTGGTGGATAAGTAATCATCCTTTTTTTTTTGTCAAAAAAAAAAAAAAAACATGTTTTGAAATTTTATTGAGAGTGGAGAAGTTCAAATTCAGCTCTTTCTCAACTCATGGTTCTTAATTTTTTTTTTTTTTTTTTTTTTTTTTTTTTTTTTTTTTTTTTTTTTTTTTAAA